AACTTAACCACGTTGTCTGATTGGTGATCCAGAAACCGAAGATAACGTTTCCATTTATAACCTCTATTTTACACAAGCACTATCAAAATACAATTACGTTTACCCGTTTCACAGATATCAATCTAACTAGCATATCAAAATTTAATCAAACGATGTTTTCGCATAAATTGGTGTCTAGCTCTTGGTCTATACTGCCGCGCCTCAACCTCTTTCATGAACAAGTCTGTTTACGTTGCCTGAGTAAAGTCTGACTCTAAACATAGATTTTAACAACGTTTAGACACGAAATGAGCCCCGCCTATGAATCTACTACTTTGTTGACTTCAACCAAATAGCGAAGCTAGTTTAAAAACTAAAAAGCACCGAGGAATATTTCTGTTGGTGACACCTTTGAGTTGAAACTTAAATTAAAATGAATACATTTTCATTTTTTGCAAAAGTTTAATGCTCGCAGTAGTTTTTTTGTTTCGTGTGCATCTGTTGGCAACGTTTAGCAATTTTGTGGTGCCCTAGATGCTTTGGAAATGTTTTGAAAAGAGCATGCTTGCCAATTAACTTACTGCTAGGTACTTTCTCTCTGAATTCTGTTTGACTCAAAGATAATTATGAATGATAAACAATCAGGCTTAGATTATACTAAAGTCGTGTTACCTTTGTTTAGCAACTAAAACACATTTTCTATAGATATTGTGTACAAAATTGTTAGAAATATTAAAGTGTGAACATCCAGGCTTAAGCAAGTGAAACTACACCCCAAGTGATAACGCCTCACAATTTTAGAATGAATTTAATAATTACCAACACCTTTGTACCTCTGGTAGTAGCCTGTCATAATTTATTGTTGAGAAACACAGAGTAGTAACTAATGGAGACCCACAGTGCCACTTCACGGAACGATTTCTAAAAGACCCTCATTTTGATTGTGAACATAATTTCTAACTATAGGAGTTTGTAAAAAAGTGTAAAATCTATTGACAGTTTGACATAACTGAATTAGAGGAGGCTCGTAGTCCTGCAATGGCCTCTCACAACCTGTTTGAAGTTGATTTCCAAGCATCAGGATAAGGAAAAAGCAATTCCTGACCAGTTCTATTTTCTAAAATTATTCCTGATTGAAGATTGCCCTAAAATGCTTGCTCAACATTCATATTCGAGTGATTTAATGTTGAGCACGCATTTCAGGACAATCTTCCACTCGATTATGTATTTACGTGGTCCACGATTGTTTAATTGAACTTATTCAATTGAACACACTCCTGCGGTGATTATTTGATCAAGTTTTATTCATGATTATCCTTTGTATCTATTTTTATATTATTGTATTTGTATAGTTGAATATCTGAGACTTTTTGTATTGCGATATATAGTTGAATGATACCAAACCGGTGAAGGGAAAATAAAGTACTAGCAACCATTAACAAAACATAATATTGCAATGTTAAAATAATTAAATCTTTATAATGTTGATATTTTTAAACAATAGCAATCCAACATTCTTTGCAATGGCTATTGGTTTTATGAAAGCATTTTATTACATCTTTTTGCTTTAGATTTCAAGATAAATTCAAAAACAAACAACACCACGTATTTTTGTATATTAACTTTTGTGAGACAAACTAAATTAATAGTTATGTTTTTCAGCTTACTCATGTAACTGTTTGACAAAGAACTCGACTAATTTCAAGCCACTCCAGGGGCCTATACTGATGAGCAGCATTCCACAACACTCGACGCGTCTGTTCTCAAGGTAATGAGTAAGCTGAAAAACATATGTGTTAGTTTAGCAAGTATTTTCTAGATACTTTTAAAAAGATCCCTCCATTGGTTCCTACTCCGTGGTAAGGTAGACAGGGCTCGCATAATCGTATTTGCAGCTAGCCTACGTAGCTTTTGTTTCGTTCATTATTCAACCTTTTGTCGTTCCCGTAATAACTTTTAACCCCTTCTATTATACTCGCTTTATGACCAAAAACATTTTTCTTCCTGTATTTTCAGAATTGATTGATGGACAGGAAATATAAGAATATTTCCTTCAAGAAATGTATTTTTCGTCTTAATATTTTCTTAGATAAATGCTGGTATAACTTGAAAGGAAGTATCAATTAATTAAGGTTATTAAGGACCTAGTAAAAGGGAAATATTCGCTAAATTATGTTTAGGTTTGTATATTATATTAATAGGTATGTTAATATTTCGATTATGAATACGAATAAAATTAAGTATGTATTATATAGTCCTTTACTCAATAGGGGTTCTTAGAGGATGCGAACTACCTAACACAAACGATTAATTAAGTTTAAGATTTAAATTTACACTAACAATACCAACACCAAGAATAAAATGTGAAATTAAATGTTAGAAATAAATGGCTTTTCTATTTTACATAATATTTTTATCCCCGAAGGGGTAGGCAGAGGTGCATATTTACGGCATTTAATGCCACTGTACAATGTAACACCCACTTTTCACTATCTATGTTATCTCCGTGCTACGACTGACAATTTTTAAAAAAACCCAGTAATACTTTGCTCGACCCAGGAAAAACCTCTTGCCCGGCAAACGCACTTGCGAACACTCGACCAGCGAGGCCAGTTATTTTATTTATTTATTACATAGGCTTTTTTTCTTCTCCTCTTATAATATCTTCTGAGTCATTTCGTCGCGGGAACCAAGACAGTTGTTCATGTCCCTGGGACGCGACGGACTTCAGTGTTCCGGTGTTTTCATGGTTGTATCTACTGTAGATCCTGGCTTACAGGAGTTGCAGCGGTTTTGGGAGGTGAGGCATGCTTGGTCCACTAAAAAAAAATAAACTTTGCTTTTGCAATAGTCAACGATCATTGATTTTATACGTACTACGTAACCTAGGTTTCCATGACCGATGACTGACGAACATTTTTAACCGATTTCTCAAAAAGGAGGAGGTCCTTGAAAAGACAACTTTTTATACCAATTTCTTAATTTAATCTTAATTAGCAGCTGTGCATATGAAATTTATAATATCATCTTTAAATTTAAACAACTTTGTGCGTCATTAGGACTTTGTAGATTTTCTATAAGTAGTGTTTTAATATATATGGAAAGTATTACGTACCATCGAAGAAGAAAGGGTAGGCAGAGGTATACTGTAAGGCGCTTGATGCCACTGTACAATATAACACCCAATTTTCATTATTTATGTTATAGTCTTATGTAATTAGGGGGTGAGCATATTGTCATATACCGGACACAATTCCAGACTCCGTGCTACTACTGAGATTTTTTGAAAAAACTCTGTAATACTTTGCCCTACCCGGGAATCGAACCCGAGACCCCATGCCCAGCACTCGCACTTAGCCAACGAGGCAGTCAATCGAGCATATGGCAAGTATACTCAAGGAAAATATAATTTTTAAATAGCTATCAATTGTCTACGCTTTCAATATTTAATTCAGAGCATTAACATATCAATGTTATCTGGATTGTATGATATCTGCATTGACAATTATATATTTTTTGTTATTGTATTAATGTAATATGATTCAAAATTGTAATCGTTACATTCCATACTGTTTAAATGTAAAACCCGTAAATGTGTGTACTAGTTTAGTACTGGTTATTGAAATAAAAAATAAAAATGTTTGTTTTTTTTTTAGTACAAAATCTTTGAAACATGCACCCTGTATATAATGATAATTATTATGAATGCTAATTATGCGAAACACCTGTCATTATGTCGAATAATATTATTTCTGTAATAATAACATGTATTTTTTCTTTTATAATAAAATACACAATTATTAAATAAATGGTGAGCCAGTATTTATTTAAGTTTCACTGCACACAATAATTTGATGTCCTATAGATTTTGAAGTAAAGTGGTACCTCAGAATCGATTGGAGTATATCTCTAAATCAAATGTTACATATGATTTGAATAAATATGTTTTAATTGCAGAATAACTACCGAACATTTGTTTTTAAAATAGTTGTGTTTTATGTTTATTAATTTAATTTAATTTAATAATTTAAACTTGGGCTAATACCTAACTATTCTCTTGAGCATGATGTGTTAGCCTTTAATTGATTGTTACACTAGCAAATGCATATTGTATCTAAACCGATTTGTTGTAATATGATGTGTAAATAGTCGTTGGCTGACCTAAATAAATAAATAAATAAATAAAAATTTATTTTTTCATTTTTTCACGCATGTTTTTGAGTCAACCAATATTGATTTTAGAGCTGAGCAGGTGCTTAGCCCCCCTCCCAGCTCACGGCGATTTCACTTTTAGTAAATGAACAAGCGAGTGGCCTTAGAGAAGCTAAGACAAATCAAAATTAGAAGGAATTATAAATAAACAGTCACACACACACGTAAACTCCACATACTCTTCAAACATATCACATCATACACAGACATCACATCAATAACCTATAAGTGTCCACTGCTGACCAGAGGTCTCTTCTCGCACGGAGAAGGTTTGAGCATTAATCATCACGCTTGCTCATTGCGGGCTGGCTTGGTTCATACATAGTATATTATAATGTTACACTTTAATTTTATTCTTGAACACATAACATAACATCACGCCTTTTATCCCCGAAGGGTAGGCAGAGGTGCACATTATGCCACTGTACAAAGTAACACCCACTTCTCACTATTTATGTTATGAGTCCCATGTAATAGGGGGTGGGCCTACTACCATATACCGGGCACAATATGAGACTCCGTGCTACTACTGAGAATTTTTTTTAAACCCAGTAATAATTTGCCCGACCCAGGAATCGAACCCGAGACCCCTTGCCCGGCAGTCGCACTTGCGACCACTCGGCCAACAAGGCAGTTTTATTCTTGAATAATCGCATATATGCGCCTATTCCAAGAGAATAAGTTATTGTAAGTGGTTTGTGTATATTTTAATATGAACGATTTCTTATAAGTTGGTTATGAATGTATTGTTTTTCAATCGTTGTTCAGTCTTTCTTCATGAAAGTGATAGTGGTGTAATTCTTGAAAAAATGACGTGGTGGTGAGTATTTCTAGAATTATTTATTAGTCATGTATGTATAATTTGTACATGTACGCTTTGTACCCACACCTTCGCAATAAGGCAGTTGCCATTTAAAATATACATGAATAATTGGAGTAATTATTTTATTTTTATTAATAGCAACAGCATTTATAGGATATGTTTTACGTTGAGGATCTTTTTGAGGAGCAACTGTAATTACAAACTTATTACCAGCTATCCCCTCATTAGGAGTAATACTAGTAAATTGAATTTGAGCGGGATTTGCTGTAGATAATGCTACTCTAACTCGTTTTTATACTTTTCAAGGGTATGAGTATTGAAATTTTTAATTAGTCCGTCAGTTTTATAATCGAAAAATATTAGATACGCATTTTTTATTTGGTCATGTAAAGTTACAATATTTGATAAAATGGTGTTAAGTTTAAGAATGGGAGGTCGTTACGTCACAACTTGCAGTCGATAATATTTACTTTTGTGAGAAAAAAATACCTGGCTAATGTTTAATCAACTAGACGGGCATTAAAAATAATTTCGGAAACTGCCTTTTTTCAGCACTGAATTATACATATTTAGATCCAACTAAATGTCAGCATTTCATGCAACAAATACCGTCAGCTATCTATTTTCTGCAACCCAATTAGTTGCCTTTAAATTGAGAGCATTTTCTTGTAAAATTAATGTTTTATAAAGCTAGATGAAATGAAATAAAAACTCTAGTAGCATCCGTTTCTTTAGTTCCAAGTACGTAGGTAGCGAAAAGTTAAAGTTCTCTTACATTTTGACAAATAATACGTACAGGCGTAAATAGTTTTGTTTAACTAATATTCCAGTAACAATGCGTCATGTCTGGCGCCCACAACTGGGGCAAGTCCACAAATATTTGCTGCCACGCTCCAATACTTCGCAGCAGCACAGTGTCTCCTCAGTCATCAGAATGTTCCTGATACTCCCATTCTAAGTATGTACCGATCGACTTCATTAAATTCAGAAACCAAAATGTCTTGAGACATTGTATATATAATACTCCTTCTTTCTCCGTGTGAGAAGAGGCCTGTGGTCAGCAGTGGGATAGTAAAAGGCTGATGATGTGATGACCTTCAAGAAAAAAAAATTATTTAAATAGATCCTTTCCCTAACAACGGCGTTCAGAGTTATAGCTAGTTTCGTATTAAAAAAAATATATAATATCTCTTTCAGACTTCCAAAGTTTTGATTTCATAATAATCGGCAGTGGAACAGCAGGGAGTGTACTTGCGAAACGACTTAGTGAAGTTAAACATTGGAAGATATTGCTCATAGAGGCTGGAGGCGACCCGCCTGTTGAATCTCATGTAAGCGCCAATGAAAAATCCATTTAACTGTATACCTAGTATAGATATCAAATCGGCAACTAATACTGATATGATAGACATTTATATCAACTTCATCATTTGTTCATCATATTCTGACTGCGATTTGACTCTTAATAATATTTGGACACGACTTGGTTCATAATTTACTAGATGACATGTTAAGCCTATCTATATTGGAATGAAATGCCTATTAAATGTAAAGTCACACACAGCCAACAAAAAATTGTGTGACAATTAAATTTGACATATCTGTAATTTTAAGCATTTTTTTTATAGTTTGGTCATTTACGAGTATTTTACTTCCAATTTTCAGATTCCAGGCTTAGACAACTCAATGACTGATGATGTTTTCAACTGGAATTATCTATCAGTAAACAACGGGGTTATAAATCAAGCCATTATTAACGGCTCCATAAACTTATCAAGAGGCAAAATGTTCGGAGGAAGTAGCAGCCTCAGTGAAATGCACTACATTCGTGGGCACGACCAAGATTACCAAAAATGGTTTAACGCTGGAAACATCGACTGGACTCACGACGATATCCATCGATGTTTCAAAAAGATTGAAAATCTGCAAAACGAGAAACTATTGAAAGATCCTGCCATTAACAAATATTACGGTGATAAAGGACAATTAATATTAAATAGGTTTAATAGCACCAATAGAGACATTTCCAACAATATTCTTAAGTCTTGGCATGAAATGGGATTTAGATACGTTCCTGACTTGAATATGGCTGGTCTTATAGGTTCTGGTATTGTAACGGCCACGGCCACCAATGGAGAGAGACAAAGCACATATACAGCATACTTGGAGCCAATTAAGAACAAATGGAATGTCAAGATACTTAAAAATGCTTTTGCAAGAAAATTATTAATAACAAAAGATTCGAAATTATGCTTCGGTGTTGAGGTCGAAAAAGAAGGTAAAATTCTAAATTTCTATGCCACTCATGAAGTAATTTTGAGCGCTGGAGCCGTAAACACACCACATCTGCTGATGTTATCCGGCATTGGATCTAAAGATCACCTAGTAGCTAAGAATATTAGCTGTCTAGTTGATTCTCCAATGGTAGGACAGAATCTTCAAGATCATTTTCTAGTTCCAATAACCGTTTACGGTGATGGACCTGAAAAACTAACAGTAAAAGAAACCCATCGAGATGTTGCAAACTATCTTTTAGATCGTACTGGACGATTAGCTGAAAGTGCAAAGTTCACTGACATAACAGCATTTTATTCTACTAAGAATAATCCCTTTCATCCAGAATTCCAAATTCACCTTTCAATAGTCCCAAAGAATACAACTGACTTAGAAGGAATGTTTAAATCTCAATACAGATACAAAGACTCCATAATAGATTCTATGACAAAACTGAATAAGAACCATTCACTTTACTTCTTTGCTTTTAATCTTTTACATCCATATTCAAGAGGAAACATTTCTTTAAACACAAATAATCCAAAAGACGCACCTCTCATATTTACAAACTACTTCAGCCACGCAAGAGACTTAGAAATCGCCGTTCAAGGTCTAAAAATGGCGTCTAAAGTAGTGAAGACCAATTTTTTCAAGAGTATACGAGGATATTTAGGAAGAATGAACTGGCCAGCTTGCGGTGTTTTTGAATTGGATAGTGAAGGCTATTGGGAGTGTGTTTCTATGAATTTGGTAACTTCTATGAGCCATCTTGTAGGAACTTGTAAGATGGGCCCTGATCCGAAGACAGCAGTTGTGAATAGTAGACTGAAGGTCCATGGAGTATCACATTTGCGAGTGGTGGATGCCAGTGTGATGCCAGAAATAACTAGTGGTAATATTAACGCACCCTGTATCATGATAGCTGAGAGAGCTGCAGAGTTTATTAACGAAGAATATTTTAATTTTAAATAGAATTTATCCTATTAATGTGTTTTTAATGAAATTGATAATGTTAATGATTAGCGATTTAGTCTGTTATTTGTATACGGAAATCAATGAAATCCTAAAATAGCTAACCACGCTAATTTACATGTAAATAACTGATTTATTCGTATTTGCAAAATTACTAAATTACGTCCAAGTCTTACAATCTTATTGTGTAATAATGTTATTATTAGTTAATAAGGAAAAGGTAAACATTTTATTATGTAAATAAATTTTGTTAAAGAAAAAGGTTTCCTTGAATTCTTGTAACATTGTTACGTAAGTAAGTAGCTACAATGAATAATTTTTTGAACTTCCTCAGAGCGAAAGGCTAAGAATTGCTTTTATTTCCGTCTGTTATAGTATGAATTTTTATTTTTATCTAACAAAAGCAAGAAGTTTAGTACTTCTCCGTTCCCAGGAACTTTTAAATACCCTTTCTTATTTTGGACTTAATGAACGAAGGTTTTTCATACCTTTCGTTGTTTCTTTACAATAAAATAGAATATACTCAAATGAACTGGCAGTGATATTCATAATGACTTAGATTAACTATTGGATGAGATTTTATTATAAAATGCTTATTAAAAACCTAACAAGTAAATAAATGGTTAAAAAACCAAGAACGGTATCTACGAGTACAATATATAAAACAGCCGGGATAAGCAGGCCGTTCGAAAGTGCCTTCCTGGTCTAATTGAAATAAATGAATTAGACTTTTTTGACTTTTGATATTAAACTGTTAAAGACCAAGCGGTCACCGGTGACCGCAACCTATTGTTCTATAATTGTGTCTATAATGACGGTACTCAAAGAGTTAAGACAAAATACTATCTGCATCAAAGTTTAAAGTAATTCAACAAGCAGAGACTATAACATACACATATCTATAACAGCTAATCTCTTGTAGGATCCTTATAACAACTAGAAACAATTTTATTCATGGCCCAGACAATATCAAGTCACCATAGTCACGTACATAACAATGGATGTAATAATTTCTGTTGTTGTATAAATTATTGACTAGTTTATGATTAACGAGAAGTCTTCGCGTTGTTATAAATATGTATGTTTAATGGGAGTGAAATAGGACGTTACTATAATTAATTTAAAGATCTTGAGAAACGAGTGGTTCTCGAGCAGAAGTTCTCGAATTAAGGCTTTTCAAATGACATGTTCAAAAATGAGGCTTTTGATAGCATTCAAGTTCCTACCATTGTATCAAATAACTGTTTAAATGATCGGAAAATTAAACATTGAACTTAAATTTTCAAATTGAAATACTACACTTTATCGCTTCTCAGCAACTTCGTCAATATATCACTTAAAAAACTGGGGCTCAATGATAGATTTATTTAGCACAAAACATAGATTTTTACCGACGTGAAGTGACAGTGCCGATCAAGCGTGAACCGTGACATTTCCAGGCAGTATGACTAGCAGGATTTTTTTACCTGCCCACCAAAAACCGTTGGGAAAAATCGTCCGTGTTTTTTCCGCTTTGACATCGATCATGCCCGGGGTAAAAGACAAATGATATGAAAATTTTTCAAGTTTACTCAGTGGTCCGTCGCTTCGTTCGCTATTTTCCCATTTGTCTATTCCACCATTCCTAGTGTTTTTCCCTATTTTTATTTGTTCCCCTACGTGGTTTATTACGATAATGATTCTGTTATTTTTATAAATGACTTTATTATTGATTGTCTGGTATTTAAATAAGAAAGTTTGTTATTGTATTTTTGTGACTGATTAGTAGCGTGCGTTCGCTTATAATTTTATTTTATTTATTTTTTTATTTTATTGATTTGGCTCACCAACAATTGATTACACTTATACAATATAGGGTTACATTTACGAAAACTTAAATACTAGTGCATCAATCTATTATAGGTAATAACTTTGAATATCTAGTTCACTATTCTATGTAGTATGCAAATATAGGTGATCCTGTCCTGTCTAAGTCTTAGGTTTAATATTATGGAACATTTTCATCTCTGACCGAAGTAAATAATTGCGTATTTTCTCATTTACTTATTCCTTTATACGGACTAAAATGTACAAAATAATAAATACACAGACGAGTAAATGGCCAAATAAGAAAAAAAATAGCTAAAGGAGATAAAAAAGTATTGATATATGGAGATAAAATTGGCGTACAATACTACAACATTACTTTAGACGTACTGCTTTATAATTGAATTTTAGTATTTATGAACAAATCTATAGATACTTAAGGGAAGATAGCTGCAACCTGGATATTCACAAGAAATATTAAAGGAAGAAAAATCGAAGGAAATCCTACCTATGGATAATATATCTCATCATTGATTGTTCTAAGAAGCACTTAAAGTCTTCTTCGGTTCAGTGGTGACCCTCGGTGCTACCATTATGTTGATCGATACACGTTATAAGGAAGAATCAATCCAAATGTTGAATGAACAGACAAATATATTGTATGGTAATCATTTAGATGACCGACATATTTTGAATAATTATGCTTAGCAAATTGATTTTAAAAATCATCTATTTTTACTAACTAAGTTATAAGAGTAATTGTACAGTCAAACTACTCCAAACTATTTGTTCTTTGGATTTTTAACGTTATGCCAATAAAATTAAAATAAAGTTGAAGATGTAATTTTACAGAAAAGGATAGGTTACCGTACCTGTGGTTGATAATATATGATGATGATGAACTACTACTATAGGTACTTTTTGTCCCACAAAGTAAACAAAGCACCCACACACACACACATACACACACACACACTTTATAGCTTTCAAAAATATTGCTTCCCTCAGACCACGTCCACAGAATGTAATAAAGTAGACGCCTAATTTTTATTTTAATGTCCTTCTATCTATCTTCTATCTATTCTATCTATCTTCAGTTTTAAAACATTGAACACGTATTTTTACTTTCTTACGGAAACTAATATTTTCGACGATATACTGATTTGAAATATCGCGTGACGTCACTTCTATGTACATTTTGTACGTAGAAATGACGTTTTAACTCCCACTCTTAAACTTTGATTCGTTTCGACCAAAACAACTACGTATCTAATATTTTTTCACTATCTAACTTGCGGAATAAATAGATTTTTAATTTTCATACCTCGTCATGATCTCTATTTTCTATTTGCACCCCTCTTCCTTTATAACCTCCAGTATCTTCAACTGAGGATCTATTATCCATCTGAACTGTTTCATTATGCTAAACATAATTCATGCGGCACTCGACTGAATTCAGTCACAGACCTGAGTCAATAGCGCAATACGTGATAAGAATGATAATACCACGAACATCTGAACTTAGATCCAAAATTAGATCATTTGATAAAGTATGTACCACCTATAAATTTAGTGCCGACTTCTATAGTTCAGTTTAAATAAAGTAGTTATAGTGTTTTTTCTGCTGCTTTGCTCGTGATTATTATGTGATCATTTAATAATTTTTCATAATGCATGTCGTTAATCAAAAGAAACTAAAAAGTAAAATATACCACATGACATAACATCACGCCTATTATCCTCGAAGGGGTAGGCAGAGGTGCAAGTTACGGCACTTAATGCCACTGTACAATGCAACACCCACTTTTCACTTGGCCAACAAGGCAGTATAATATTCACAAATCATAATCTTTGTTTGTGTGCCATTTGCCAAATAAATGCCTTTTCTTTCTTTCTCATTTCTTATCATGCATGTCCTAAATCAAAAGAAGCCAAAAAGTGAAATATAATATTCACAAAAAAGGACATAATTAACACATTGATATATATTGAACTTGAAGACAATTATATAGCAGACTTTCTTTTTTTTAAACTGTCAAACACCAAGCGGTCACCGGTGACCGCAACCTATTGTTCTATAATTGTGTCTACAAAACCGGTACTCGACGAGTTAAGGGGGGAAAATCATCGAATGACTGCTCCCGCCTGGGTGAGGCGGAAGGGAGTGTCAGACTCTTACTGACTAAAAACCACCCCGTTCCTTCTCCTGCACGTCGAGCCGGAGCCCCGGTTACCCGTTAGGTTCTCCGCGACTCCGAATCGGCATCGGCCCTATTGGGCCCCATCTGTGGTGGTAATTATATAGCAGACTAGCTTCTGCCAATGACTTAGCCCGCGTTCCCGTGTGATAAAAAGCGGCTTATATGTTATTCCAGACCATGATATACTCCTACCCCTAATTACATCTCGATCGCTTCAGCCGTTTTGACGTGAAAGTGTATCAAACGTACACATACATACATTCTCTTACAAACTTTCGCATTTATAATGTTAGTAGGAAGTAGGATAAGATAGTACATAGTATACACAGAGGATAGAACCTTGTCTCAATACATATGTAGGTAATGCACTAACGTGAACCAAGACAAACAAACTACCTCTTAAATAATATTGGTACGGTCAACAAAGACAGCAAGCAATATGTATTCTCATCGCGATTTACAAAGAACAAGTTTGCGGACGGTATTCTTAAGAGATCGTGTAATAAAGATTAATCTAGATTAGATAAAAGGACAGTCACGAACGCTGTTCTAAAGAAAGTTCCGAATAAAACTCTGTCAGACCTTTGAGCCCTTTTGGAAAACGTGTTGCTGCTAAAATTATTATATTTATTTTTTATTTTTTATTTATTGCTTTTTCGGCCATTTTACGCCTTTTTCTGAAATAAGTCGGTAAACACAGTTGGTGCGGTGGCTGAGCAACCGGCTGCCGTGCAACGTGTCGCGGGTTCGATTCCCGCACGGCACAACACTTTGTGTGATCCACAAATTGTTGTTTCGGGTCTGGGTGTCATGTGCATGTGAACTTGTATGTTTGTAAACGCACCCACGACACAGGAGATAATCCTAGTGTGGGGCAAATCCCATTTTCATTACATTTTTTTTTAATTACAGTTATTTTTTTAATTTTTGGGCTAAAAGGCTAAAAAAAAACAAGTCGACATATCACCTGATGGTAAGTAATTGGCGTCGCCAATGGATACCTGGAACACCAGAGGCGTTACAAGTGCGTTACCGGCCTTTTGGGGATTAGGAGTTTGAGGATTGTTGCCTGCTCCTATTGTTGATTGTTGTCTTCGCTAAACTCAGTCACACGACGAAACACAACGCAAGCGTTGTTTCACGTCGGTCTTCTGTGA